TGGGAGCGGCGTGTGGATTTGAGGTTGTACGGACACACTGGCATGACGCGTGATTGTGATGAACTCCCCTCCCTCCACCCGCGACCCGGCAGCACACCCTGCACGCTCCCATCGGATGGGTTCCACCCCGCTGATCAGACAGGGCGCGGGGCGAGCCACATCATCACCGGCTCGCGGCAATAAGGACACTCTCGCATCAGCTCGGAGCATGGACCGCAAACGCACAAGTGGCTGCACGGCACCGCGAGGTGAGACTTCGGCCGCTCGAAGCATATGATGCACGACGTCTCTCCCCCCATCTGATCGATGTTTTTCCGTTCAATACGTCTTTTTACGAAGGGTATAAACCAAAGCGACTCAGCGCTGAGGCGTCCTAGAAGCGGGCGCCATCTGCAAGAGAAAATTTTGTTTCATCTGGTTCCAAATGCGTCGAGTTTTCAATTACATTTTGCGATCTGTGATCTGTAAAGAGTAAACATACTACCGGTACTACTGTTAACGAGATACTGAGGTCGGCCTTGGACCACTTTTTTCGATATTGGTGTATCTTTTCAGCACACCAGCTGACACCAGCAGCGCTTCGAGGACTGAGCAGTGACCGGAGTGACAACAGTGAGAGACTCAAAGCTCAGTGCGCACGCGCGGCCACCTCCACCCACTTGGGCTCCGCGCCGCGCTCGACGACGAGCGCGTGCTCTGCGAGGTTTACAGTCGGACAGACGTGGCGCGGGATGAGGAGCAGCGGCGTGCCGCGCGGCGGTGGCGGCTCGCTGCTCGCCATTGGCAGGTGCTCCTCGCTGGGACCCAGCGCCTCGAGCTGCGGCACCTCCAACACGCGCGCGACTGGGCTGCCGGCCTCGCAAGCGAGTGCCTTGGAGCCCGCGTCGAGCGTGACGACGCACGGCTGCCCCGGCGCGCTCCACGGGCGAGGGTGCGATACCACGCGCGATAGCACGAGCGCCGCGGGCAGGAGGCCCAGCGCCTCGCCGCCCTCCATCTCCTCCGACATGCTGTCGTGGAAGACGACCGTGCCCGGTGAGATGCGATGCGTCGGCGCCTCGTTGACTTTCTCGCCGTAGTAGCGCAGCGCCTCGAGGCAGGTGGGGGTGCCCGACGTGATCACCTCTTCCACGGCGATCCCGCGAGACCTCAGCGTGCCCACCAGCACGTCAAGGGAACCATAGACCTTGTCGGCCTCCGAGCGGCGCTTCTCGGCAGACTCGTCTGAGAGGTGGCCTTCATAGTAGTGCAGCCCACGGAAGCGAGCTCCAGCAGCCGTCGCGATGGCGGCAATGTCGTCGGTCGCCTCGAAGGGTACACCGGTGCGATCATAGCCGGGGTTGATGTCGATGAAGATGTCAAGAGAGCCGGGCAGGCGCGGCGCGGCAGCGGCGTCCTCGCAGAGCACCCCGAGCCGCACCTCCGGAAACTCATCGGCGAGGTCAGCGAGCTGCTTCAGGCTGGGGCCGATGAGCGGGTACGCCAGCAGCACGTCGCCGTCCGTTATGGCGCGCCCTCGCAGGACACCGCACATGAGGCGCGCCTCCCTCACAGTGGCGCACTTGAAGTGGCGAACCCCGGAGGCGACACACGCTTCGTAGACGGGCGCCATCTTGGTGGTCTTGAGGTGCGGGCGCCAGCGTGCGGCGTCACCACCGCAGTGTGCGAGCATCGTGGCGAGGTTGTGCTTCACCTGGTCCATAAACACCACGAGCTGAGGCGAGGGTATCTCGGCGCGGAGCGAGGCGGGTAGCAGCTCCTCGTACGTGCCGCGATCCAGCGCCCCGAAGGGCTCGGCTGACTGCATCGCCACCCGTACCCCCAAGGCATGTGGCGAGTACAGACACGCCTGCTATTCACAGCACAACGTCTCACTTGGCGGCTTCGGGCAGTGAAAAGCATCCCTTTTCCGGACGGACCCCCTGGTGTGAAAACGTGAGGCGTGGTCAACAACTCAGCGCTGAGGCGGCACCCGGAGCAGCACACGCTCACCTAGAATCCCTTTCTGGCCCTCTGCGCTCGCAGCGACTCGTTGCGCCGAGGCGGCTCGCTGCCCTGCGGGCCGCGATTGAGCAAGCGCCGCCGAGTGCCAAAAATCGTGCCGCGGCAGCTGGGGCAATCCGTGGCGATGTCGCATTGCCCTTGGCGCGTGACGTAGTCCGCCTGCCGCGGCTTGGTCTGAGCGAGGAGGCACGTGTAGTGGAAGATGTTGCGGCAGCACACGCTGTAGCCCCAGCCGTCGTCCGCCGTGTGGTCGCAAAAGAGAGCCCTCGTCAGCAAGCGCTCGTCGTCGACGTCGCTGCCCTCCAAGCAGATCGAGCAGCGCGCGCCCGCCTCTAGCCACGGCGCGAGCTGCGGCGGCGGTGGCGGCGGTGG